TCGGAAGAGGAGATATGAATTTATAACTAGGAAGAACTTAATAACAAAATTTTAGTTAGCAACGCTAAATATCGTCATTAAATAATTGATCGTATAATGAATATAACGAATATTGCATTAAAACAATTTTAGAAGAAGAGGAAAACTATAAATTCAGTGACAAATAGATTGTAAGAAATTAAAAGATTATCTATGTTAAATATATATACATATAAATTTGTACAAAAAGTGTACGAAATTCGTTCGGAATATACAAAACTCATTAGGAATATCATTTTTAATATATAAAAGAACTTCTTCTAAGACCAATAATACTCAACTTTAATATTAAAAAAACTCTTATTAGAATTAGATATGGATGTTAAGAAATTTAATTATGAAATAATAAAAAAAATATATGCATTGTGAATATGAGTTTATGTTTCTACTAACATCACCGATATATGTTTATCCTAAGAAAAACAAAAGATCACCATGTGAACATCTTCAGCTCCTTGTGCCCTCCTCTTGCCTTTCACATAAACCATGTAGTACTTATCAAATGGGTCTCTATTTCTCTTTTCACTTGAACTTGTTCAAAGTTACCCGAAAATGAATATTTTCATATGTCTTTCCATGCTAACGACGATTAACCATGATATCCCAAAAACAGGAAACTTCACCACATCCGGCCTCTAGGTAAACTGAAATACCTCGCATGAAAGTCCATTTGTTGTCGGCGACACTCGTTCCGTAAGAATGCTACGTATGAGGTAAGTGCTATCAACCCTGATACTATAGGGTATGAAAAACTTAGTAAAAAAATCATTAGTTCATCGTCACTTCCAAATGCGAATGTGCAAACGAAACACGTGTAGCTAGCTACCCCAAGAAACAGGATGGAACCATAAATAATCCTCCGCATCGGCAATCCAATTATGAGCATCATCATCACCCACATCGATGAGAAGAAAGTTACCCCAATCAATGCATAGAAGAACATTGCGCCAAGTGGACTAATAATCATATGTATCGCCTCGTGACGATCTTCGAGAGCGATGCTTCTGTCATACAGAGTTGTATCTTGCCAATAACCACCTAGAGGACAGAGAATGGTTTGGCAGGTAAGGTGGCTGTCATGATCAAGATAGTCACCACAAGTATAGAATTCCACAAATCACTTGTATTGGGAGATCCTTTTCCGATATTCTAACTTAGATTGTCCAGTCCCAACATCTTATTACGTACCTCCATGACTGAGAGACTTTGACTCAAATAGTTTGTCAAAGACGTTTCGGTAAACTCATATCCTAATTTTGCTTTAGCAGCTGTCATTAAACAATTGACCGTATAATAAATATAACGAATATTGCATTAAAACAATTTTAGAAGAAGGGAAAACTATAAGTTCATGACAAATAGATTGTAAGAAATTAAAAGATTATCTTAAATATATATACATATAAATTTGTACAGAAAGTGTACGAAATTCGTTCGGAATGCACAAAACTCATTAGGAATGTCATTTTTAATATACGAAAGAATTATTCTAAGACCAATAATACTCAACTTTAATATTAAAAAAAACTCTTACTTATTAGAATTAGATATGAATGTTAAAAAATTTAATTATAAATTAATAAAAATAATAATTGCATTGTGAAGATGAGTTTCTGTTTCCATTAACATCACCGATATTGTTTATCTTAAGAAAAGCAAAAGATCGCCACAAACTTATTGATCATATTCACCCAGAAATAGGCAAACACTTGGAGTTGATAAGGCAAAATCAGGATATGAGCTTACTAGAACGTCTTTGGCAAACTATTTGAGACGTCAAAGTCTCTCGGTCATGGAGATACGAAATAAGATGTTAGGGATGGACAATCTAAGTTGGAATATCAGAAAATGATCTCCCAATACAAGTGATTTGAGGAATTCTATACTTGTGGTAGCTATCTCTCAATCACGAAGGTACGTAATAAGATGTTGCGGAATTCTATAATTGACATTAAACAATTGACCGTATAATGAATATAACGAATATTGCAATAAAGCAATTTTAGAAGAAGGGAAAAACTATAAGTTCAATGACAAATATATTGTAAGAAATTAACAGATTATATGTTAAATATATATACATATAAATTTGTACAGAAAGTGTACGAAATTCGTTCGGAATGCACAAAACTCATTAGGAATGTCATTTTTAGTATATAAAAGAACTTATTGTAAGACCAATAATACTCAACTTTAATATTAAAAAAAACTCTTATTAGAATTATATATGAATGTTAAGAAATTTAATTATAAATTAATAAAAAAATAATTGCATAGTGATGATGAGTTTCTGTTTCTATTAACATCACTGATATATGTTTATCCTAAAAAGAGCAAAAGATCGCCACAAAATTATTGATCATTTTCACCCAGAAATAGGCAAAACACTTGGAGTTGCTAAGGCAAAATCAGGATATGAGTTTACCGGAACGTCTTTGGCAAACTATTTGAGACGTCAAAGTCTCTGAGTCATGGAGATACGAAATAAGATGTTAGGGATGGACAATCTAAGTTGGAATATCGGAAAAGGATCTCCCAATACAAGTGATTTGAGGAATTCTATACTTGTGGTGGCTATCTCTCAGTCACGGAGGTACGTAATAAGATGTTGCGGAATTCTATAATTGTCATTAAACAATTGACCGTATAATGAATATAACGAATATTGCATTAAAACAATTTTAGAAGAAGGAAAAAACTATAAGTTCGATGACAAATATATTGTAAGAAATTAACAGATTATATGTTAAATATATATACATATAAATTTGTACAGAAAGTGTACGAAATTCGTTCGGAATGCACAAAACTCATTAGGAATATCATTTTTAATATATAAAAGAACTTATTGTAAGACCAATAATACTCAACTTTAATATTAAAAAAACTCTTACTTATTAGAATTAGATATGAATGTTAAGAAATTTAATTATAAATTAATAAAAAAATAATTGCATAGTGATGATGAGTTTCTGTTTCTATTAACATCACCGATATATGTTTATCCTAAGAAGAGCAAAAGATCGCCACAAAATTATTGATCATCTTCACCCAGAAATAGGCAAAACACTTGGAGTTGCTAAGGCAAAATCAGGATATGAGTTTACCGAAACGTCTTTGGCAAACTATTTGAGACGTCAAAGTCTCTCAGTCATGGAGATACGAAATAAGATGTTAGGGATGGACAATCTAAGTTGGAATATCGGAAAAGGATCTCCCAATACAAGTGATTTGAGGAATTCTATATTTGTGGTGGTTATCTCTCAGTCATGGAGGTACGTAATAAGATGTTGCGGATTTCTATAATTGTCATTAAACAATTGACCGTATAATAACGAATATTGCATTAAAACAATTTTAGAAGAAGGAAAAAACTATAAATTCGATGACAAATATATTGTAAGAAATTAACAGATTATCTATATGAGTTCAATTATCCAAAAAAATATGTTTTTGGAAAATAGTTTCTTATATATAAAACAATATACAAATAATAAATAGTTTCTTATATATATAATGATTTTTAGGAAAAAATACATATATCACACATATATATAAAACATATATATACATATAAATATATAAAATAAATATGTAATTAATTTTGTGGAAAATAAATGTGTAATTAATTTTGTGCTTATAATATTTAATATGTGTATATGAATTTGTATAATTTTTAAAATTTAAAAAAGTATAGGGTTTTTTTGGATAAAAAAATGTATATGGTTTAAATTGCGACGAAAAAAAAAGTACAAGGTTTTTTTTTGTATTATCCATTAGATATATGTTAAAATTTGAAAAGTTTAGTTTTTATTTGTCAGTTTAGATATAGTTGAGTATTTAATTTGGAAATGAGATAGTTGAGTATTTAATTTGGAAATTTGGTTAAAGTTCAATATTTAATATGTGAATCTGCCTGATATATATATACAGAAAGAAAGAGTATTACGCGCGGCATGAGAGCGTGAATTGAAACTGAAAAACCCGGACTATATCCATGGGTTTGGGCCATTTTCTCCAAAAACCAAATTTTACGCGCGTGGCCACGGAAATGCTCCCACAAAATAACAGCCCATTACATTAAAAAAATAGATAGTCCATTATATTAAACCCATTTATTTTTTACACGTTAAAAAAGCCCATTCAATTAAATCCATTATTTTTATACATCCCATTGTATTGATCAAAAGAGCCCATTATACTGACAAATACAGCCCATTACAGTCTTTTTTTTTTTTCAAAACTAAAAATTACCGAATGCTATGATACATTTTTTACAGGTTCGTAGAGTGAAAAAAAAAATTAATACAGTCCGGAGTGTGTGTAAATATTTCATTTTTTGTTTGTTCCAATAAATGTATTACATGTTTACTAACTAATTTACCCAAATTTACAAAAGAAAAGAATAAAGAAAATAGTAGTGGTGGGCTGTTTCCGTTTTGGGCCAAATATATATATATATATATATATATATATATATTATATAATACGATACAAGTGTGGTGTTGAGAGAAGGAACGTCACATTGTGGAAACCCACCACCGTGGCAGCACGAGCTTCTACTTCCCCGGTGAGTGGTTCCTCGTCGGTCAACGCTGCTATCTTCCGTTGACTCTATAAACCCCTTTCTATGTATATATATATATAAATATCACCCCAAATTTACAACTAGTAAACACAACCAAATATTACTTCTCTCTCACGCCAGCGCCAACCGATGGCCGAGCCTTCTCATGCTGCCAGAGACACTCACGTCGCCGTCCTCGCCTTCCCCTTCGGCACCCACGCGCCGCCTCTCCTCTCCGTCACGCGCTGCCTTGCCGCCGCTGCACCTGCCGCTCGTTTCTCCTTCTTCGGCACCGCCCAATCCAACTCCGCCTCCGTCGGAGGCGACGGTTTGCCGGCGAATCTGAGGACCTACGACGTTAGCGACGGAGTACCGGAGGGGTACGTATTCACGGGAAAGCCACAGGAGGCGATCGAGCTGTTCCTGACGGCAGCGCCGGAGAGTTTCCGGAGAGGAATGGGGACGGCGGAGGCGGAGGTCGGCCGGAGAGTGACGTGTCTGGTGACGGACGCGTTCTACTGGTTCGCGGCGGAAATGGCGGCGGAGATGGAAGCCGTTTGGGTGGCGTTCTGGACGGCTGGGCCCTGTTCCCTCTCCGCCCATCTATGTACGGATCTCATCCGACGAACCATCGGCCTCCAAGGTTTTCCTCTTTCACTTTTATTTTTTATTCTGACGAGTTATATTCGTGATCCTTGAAATGCGTTCTTTATGGCAAGTAGGAAACTGCTCGAAGAAGAAAGGTCCTCTGGTTGGCAAATTCATATAGAGTTAGCACTATCACTAAACATGTTTTCTCTCTCTAACTTCCATGTCCAAATCACAGAGGTGGATGGACGCAAAGAGGAGAAGCTAGGGTTCATCACAGGAATGGAGAAGATGAGAGTGAAGGACTTGCCAGAAGGAGTTGTGTTTGGAAACCTCGAATCCATATTTTCCCGTATGCTCCACCAGATGGGGCTGGCCTTACCAAAAGCATCTGCCCTATTCCTCAACTCTTTTGAAGAGTTAGACCCTCTTTTAACCTCAACCCTTTCCTCAAATCTCAATCGCTTTCTCAACGTCGGCCCTCTCCCCCTTTCCACCCCTCCTAAAGTCTCGACACTCAATGACACATACAACTGCTTAGCCTGGCTAGACAACCAAGCCCTCGGATCAGTGGCCTACATCAGCTTTGGCACGGTCATGACACCACCGCCCAGCGAGCTACAAGCCATGGCAGAAGGCCTGGAAGCGAGCAGAGTGCCATTCATATGGTCATTGAAGGATAAAGACAGGGCTCATCTACCGAAGGGCTTTCAAGACAGGACAAGAGAACAAGGGCTGGTGGTGCCATGGGCACCACAGGTGAAGGTGCTCGAACACAGAGCAACGGGTGTGTTTGTTACACATTGTGGTTGGAACTCGGTGTTAGAAAGTGTTGCAGGAGGCATACCGATGATATGCAGGCCGTTCTTCGGGGACCAGAGGCTGAATGGGCGGGCGGTGGAGGCCGTGTGGGAGATCGGAGTGACCATTGATGGTGGAGCCTTTACAAGAGATGGATTCGTCAAATGCTTAGATCAAATTCTTGGACGTGACAGTGGGAGGAAGATGAGAGGTAATGCTAAGAAGCTCAAAGGACTTGCCCATGAGGCTGTCTCAGCAAATGGAAGCTCTACACAGAACTTCAAAGACCTGTCGGAAATAATTGTGATGTAACATAATTCATATGAAATAAAGAACTTTGTATTAATGTTTGAAACAAAAAATTGGAATAAGCTGCACAACCACAAACCCCCCCACCCACCCACCAAAAATAACACAGTCTAATATTGAAGCAAAGAGAATATATATATATAAGTGACCCATATAGATAGATATTCCCTACCATTAGCACCCTAATGTGAAAAATCTACATCAATTCACCAAACACTGCTACTTGGTAACACACCCTCTTCTCTTCTAAGCCTTCCAGTTTTCAAAATCGAATGGGAAGTTCTTACTAACAACCCCAAATACAGTGGCGGGGAAGAAAACATCTCGTCCTCCTCCTCGGTTTTCTTCTTCTTCCTCCTTTGCTTGTTGAAGCCTACAATGAATTTCACTCACCAAATGAAAGGAGGCTCCGCCCTATCTTCGCTTTTTCATCACTCACGAGTCCATATCTTCTTGAATTTCATTAGGAGCGATAAGCCCTGGGATCGAGAGCATTCTTTGCCGCTCTCTCTCCCTCTGAGCAGCAGCCTCCTCGGCATAAAGGTCTTTGTTATCCTGAAAATATTGTTTTTTATACACGACGGCAAATGAATAGGAAATTAGTTCGAGTTTACCAAAGAATGGGAATGTAGAATAAGGGATGGCGGAGAAACCAAAATGTGGTTACCTGCGCTGAAAATTCTTTGGACTGCACAAGGAAATCGCGTATAGTGTTCTTAAACGTCGATACGTCATTTCTCGACTCAAAAAGTCCATTGACGAATTGTGTGACCTGTGTATTTATGTTTTCAAGATCAGTGAGTGGAATCAAAGGAGATCTGGAAAAACAAAGATTCTGGTTTGATTTACCTCAGCTGCAGTCATATTGGGGAAAGATGTGCTCAGGAGCTTTATGGTGTATTCGCGAACAAAGGCGGAATTGTTTGGATATGGATAAGGTACTGTTGCCGCATCCCACAAAGGTTCCGTCAAAGATCCACTCTCAACCTGAACCCATAGTCAAACCCATAAGTAAAGAAAACATCCAGCAAGTAAATGAACGAGGAGTCCATCAGGAAGGGCATGCTTACCAGGCAAAAAAGATGCTGCAGCACCAATACATGCAACTTGAAACCAGGCTTATGGAAGGTGTCGGTCAAAACGGCAAATATTTCTTGCTCAATTTGCATAAAGTATGTCCGGTAGAATTGATTACAAAACTCAGAAGCCTATTAAAGTTACAAGGGATGTTACATCAACCTATAGGCTGACATGCAAATAGCTACAAACAAAAGGAAGAAAAAGCACCAAACCTGAAAGTTCTTCAGCATCTCAAGCAAAAGATTAAGCCCAGTTTCGGCGATATTTCTTTCGGTATGCCTAAACGCCCAGATAATTGAATCTATCACTAGCTTCAGTTGCTGGTGAATGACAAGAAGGCACAAGATGAAATAAGTGCAAGGACTTGTACGAAAATAAATCTATCAACATATAACCAGATAATACAATAAACTGAACCAGAATAAACTAGATGAATGAAATACAAATGATGGCTACAAATTCCTTGGATGTAAAAAAAGCCAAAATAAATGCAAAAACATATTCACCAACCTGACTTGACAGCCGTATCAAGGCAGGGAAACAGAAAGTAGCAATAGCACGAAGTAATGAGAAAAATTTCAGGCGATGCTCTGGGTAATCTTCAAAATTTTTAGTTATCATCTGCAGGACAAATAAAAGTGAGTACATCAACTACAATACACAACACCAACTAGTAAGTCATATCAACAAGTCTAGTCTTTATGGTGAATAAAAAAATAGCCAAAACAAACATTTATGAAGAAACAAGAAAGAATTATGTTAAAGAAGGTCATCCAAAATGACACACTCTACCAAGTGTATGCCTATAAACATAAGTCAAAGTACAAACCAAGTTTGGATAGCTGTCTAGACGACCCCATTTCCCCTATAAATTAAACACATAATACATCTTTGCTTTTCCTAAAGCTGTAGAACATGGTTCGTCGTGGAGAGACAACAACTAAGCATTAATTAGCTAACGATAAGCCATGGCTCATATAAAATTTACCTCCAGCGTACACTGGAAAACAGCTTCAAATATGCGGGGCACATCATCAAGCATTGCAGCCTTGTACCTGCACGACATGTCATGTCACATGTATTAATATTGCACGAATCCAATGATAGTAGATTTTGTATCACGTCATGCAGTAAGGCTTCTTTTGGAATACCAAATAGCCTTAGATCTAGAAACAATTTCGCATCAATCTGTTCATGTAATCCATGATGATTATTAAATAACAAAGAACAAGATAATTACTTGTTTATTATCGTTGCAAATAGTGATAGAACTTCAGATTCCCTAGCATCAGGGACGTTTCTTGCATAATCGCCAAGAACAGGATCCATCATTGGCGGCACAAATTGTTTTCCGATGTGTGGCTGGTCTTCAGCTTTGTCTAAAAATGTTTCTATCAGTTTAAGGGTTTCCCTCTTAACAGACCTGTCCAATCAGAATAAAAATATAACATTATTCAAGTTTATAGAGAGAGACATTCACAACCTCTCACTGTGTTTATCTTAGGTACAAAAGCTAATCCTACCGTAGAAGTTTAACAAAAGATGTTCTTGAAGCATAAGGGCCTCCACCAGCAATGCTACCCGATACAAGCTCACTGTACATTCTGTTGCAGCAATACAATGAAAAACCAAATTAGAGTTCTCAAAGATTGTGTAACATGGACAGCTATTGTTGTACAATGGGTTTACCTGTATACATTCAGCATATCCAAGAAGATCAAGGATATTTGCGACAGAAAGTATGTTCCAAGAGAAGTTGCAACACTAGTATTTGTCTGCAATGCACAAACCGAAATGTATTAGACTTCATCACAGAGCCAAACCAAAATCTACACTAAGACCACTAGATAGACCAGCTCAACATAACGAAAACACGGAATCATGCTTCCTTATCATATGCAACGAAATTCTATTTCATAGATAAAAAGTAGCAGCACACGGCAACTCCAGATAAGCTTCAGATAACCATCAATGTGTAAAAGTAAGAAGTCAGCAGACCTGGAAGATGTTGAGTACAGTACGTATCACATCTTGATCCTTAAGGAAATCTACACTCTGGCGTGCCTGTCCTATGATTTCTGCCCATTTCTGCAATACAGAAGTGAGTTAGTTTTAATCAGCTCAGCCTATAAAAATCCAAGAAGCTAGAATTATTAATTAACAGACCTGGTTTGGGAGAGCCATCAACCTCTGGAGGTATTCATCCCTCTTCTGAGGATCTGATTCCGCTTGGATCATTTGACCAACCTGAAGAGAGAAGGTTAAATTGCAACAAGAAACAGCTTTGTATCTCCACACAAGCGACATCTGGAAAAACTTACAGATTCATAAAAGGTGTGAATCTGATGAGGCTCGAGATCTGCAACAGTTGTTGCAAGGCCCGATAGAAGTTCAGATACAAATGGTTCACTTTCTCCAACCTGAAAGTGCAAGAAGCTAATTTTATGATCTCAATTTTTAAAAGATTGTGTAAGAATTTAATACTTGCATATGCATACCTGGACGATAACAAACTTGCGCTTGCACTTCTGAACAATTTTCAGGAATGTATCACAGGCCATATCCTGAAGGAAATCATTGCATATTCAATGTTTTTAACGGCAAATTTAATCAGAAAACAGCAACTGCAAACAGCACATGGTAACGTAATTGGATTTCACCCTCTATATATCCAACCAGTACATTGCACTTAACAGTCCAATATTTAAGACAGCAGAAGATTGTAAGAGAACCACTACCTGAACACCTGGATGCGTCTCATGCATGAATTCAAACAACTTGTTCACAACTGTCTTCAGAAATTTCCAGTGGGCTCTTAAAAATCTTGGATACTGTCCGACAACATACCTGGAACATAGGGAAAGCATTAAAAAAAATGAGAATTCTCCCAGGAACAAAGCCTCAAAGTTCTTAAGGTGAAGTATGCATAAATCTTATGCTGGTATCCAACGGAAACAGCAAATGACTAAAAGAATCCTGATATCTGTCAACTCTATCCTACATAGAAATCCAAGATTAGTGTCCATGATGGAGAAAACTTACATGATATTGCTGGCAATAACGGCTTTATTATCTTTACCCTTGGTGATCTCACATAAATTTAACAAATCACGGATAACCATCACCAAAAATCTGTTTTCCTGACAAAGACATTGAAGTTCAAATACATCAGTTATAGACACAACACATAAAACACCTATCACAACCACTGAAAGAAATGGTCAAACAGATGAAAAATCGTAAAAATATGGCAGGTGATGAAAGAGATTCTTGCAACAGCGAATAAGTATATATGATGCATCAAAAAGGTAAACACACAATGATAAAGATATGTGATGGAGAAGTTACTACGTCACAAAACAAAACTATCAACTTTATGCACAAAATAAAAGAAATAATTCAGAGGGCAACCATGACAAGCAACAGTGTAAATCATACCTGTTCTTCTGCCATGGACCCAGATATAGATCCAATAGCCCAGCACAGCGTGTTCAGGTTGTTCCAAGTCCATTCCTCCCCACTTAATTGTTTGCTGAGTTTCCTCAACATCTTTAAAGGTAAATCAAAAGATGATCAATAGAAAAAGGTCAGAGAAACTGAGACATTGAGCCTTAGATAACACAGTTGAATTCAGTGATTTAGGGTCTAGATTTGCACAAGAAGATTCTACATAATAGGTTACATGCTACTGTCTAGACGGCTACTGACAACATAGTGATCATAATTCTCTAGCTGTTAATTCCCAACTGTTTTTACGTAAACCGTCAGCATAACTACGCTATCATAAGAAACACATAAATAAACTCTCCCTCTTGTAAAAGCTACCTGTTTTTCGGTATCATCATGATCAAGGTGTGACAAATAGATCAGTGTCTCTCGCATGATCTGCAACAATAGAAAATAACAAATGAGAACCAAAAAAAGAAAAGGCTCCCCGAGGATGAAATTACATGCACACCAAAATGAAGAATTGAGTATGATACTGTTACAGTGT